GTATAGTACCGCAAAAATTAAATGCTAAACTAAATGAAAATAATATAATTGAAGTAATAAACTAAACGAATAATTAACTATCGATTTCCTCGATTATAACTCTAATAAAATAAAATATATTAATGTAATATTAATTACCTATCGATATACTAGTTATATTGAAGATTATTACGTTTAAAATAAAAAATCCTATTGATCTTCATTTATTTTAAAAATTTATTTATTATTTTTAAAAACTAATATAATATTAAACTATAATACGTTAAATACGAGAACGAAATTATTAAAAGATAAATTATTAAAATTTTCTTCGCTATTAGAGGAGTTAAAATCGAAGTATATATTCTTAATATTTAAATTTAAAATAGCGAGGTAGAATGCTTAGGGAGTATTATTAAAGAGAAGGGGAGATCTATAATTATTAAGACCTAAATATTAGAAGACTTATAAATAGAAGTTATATTAATAATTATTTGTTTAATAAACCGCTTACCTTGCTACTTTTACGATTAGAAATCCCTATACGAACGATTTTATACTTAGATTGCTTGCTAACGTAGATTTACCACCCTTCAAAAGCTAGACTTTTTATACCTTCGAATTTATAACTATAAAACTTATACTATAATTACAATTACCTATCTAAAGTAAGAGAGGCGAAAGAAGTATAACCCAAAGGCGTAGATCGGTTACTTTATTAGTTATTTATTTTTATTTATCTACCGGATTTAGAATCTTTATAATAACCGTATTATTAATATTCAAGACGTAATCTTCGTCGAAGATACTACCTTTACTAAAGATATTTTTAAAGAGAAGGATAACTTTAAAATTATATTTAACGAATTCGCCGATTTATTTAATAAGATAAATCAATTATATAAAATTTACAATTATTTCGGGAGCCGAATTGATTTTAAAAACGCTTATATAATCGAATTTCTTAATAATCTATTATTATTAAATTTAATAAAAAGTAATAAAAGAGTAGAAGGAATTCCTAAATATTATAACCTATCAATAATATCCTTTAATTACGTTTTTAATCATTATTTAACTCCTCCGGATTTACTACCGCTATTTTCCTTTTTTATTAACCTCTTTTAAAATACTTATCTAAAAGAAAAAATCAATATAAATAAATTTGTTTTATAAAAGGCTACTTTTAACGTTAAATGATTTTCTTAATTGATAATTCCCTACCGAGGGTAAATAATTATTAAAGCTTAATTTAACCGTTTGGTTAGGGATAATAAATTTAATATTATATATTGTTATAATTTTCTAAATTTATTTAAATATTATAAAGATTTCGATAACTACCTCCCTCGAACCTAATTTCTAATAATTAAGTAAAAAATATTTCGATAGTTATAGAGAAATAAAACTTTAGGTAGAGGTCGACGCTAATAAACTTAAAATATAAAGAAAATGAATATTTGATTATATATAGGTTTACGTATAGAAGTTTTATAAGAACGGCAAATTTAATAAAATTAAGGCGAAATTCGTAATTAAAGGGGATTAATAATAGAAAATAAGGTAAGAAATTTAAGCTTTAACCCTCGTTAGAAGATTATTTCGAACTATTATTATTATTACTATTCGATTTAACCTCGAATTAATTTAATATAATATTATTAATACTTTTATTAACGCTAATTTCGACGAAGAGATATTTGTAAAAATACTGCTAAGGTATTAAAGGGAGGGTAAGGTATTAAGAATTTATAAAGTATTCTATAGCCTACGCCGGTCACCGTTATTATAATAATACGAACTTACTAACGCTTTTACCGATAACGGTTTCTAGCCTATGCCTGAAGAACTTTATATTTTTATTAAAAATAGGATTTTTATCTTCTATTATATAGATAATATTATATTCGCCTACCCTAAACGACGAGAAATAGAAGTTTAATAATATATAAAAGATTTAAAATAGCGATATTATTTTATTAAAAGTAATGAATTATAATAATTTTTCGGTCTCGAAATTATTAGAGACTGGAAAGCTAAAAAAAAATAATTATCCTAGTAATCTTATTTCGAAAAAATTTATAACCTTATTAACAATAAACGTACAATTTTCGTCCTTATAGCTAACTAAGAATTAATACTATATAAAAATAAAGTATTAAGGAAGTTAATCTATCGATATTAAATTAAAATCGGTTTAATATTATACGCCGCAGTTATTACTAGACTAGATATTACCTTTGTAATAAACCGACTAATTCGATATAGTTATAACCCTAATTTAGATTATTATAAGGTAATAGATAAGGTATTATATTATTTCTACTATACTAGCGAATTAGCCTTAACCTTTAGGGGTAATAATATTCTCGAAATTACTTTAGATACTTCTTTTATTAATAACCTTCTTAATCGAAAGAGTTTTTAAAGATTTATTATCAAATTCTTTAATAGTCTTATATATTAGGGAATAATTAAATAAGTAATAATTATAATATTATTAATAGAAGTAGAGTTACTAGTATTCAAAAGTGTAGCTAAAGAAGTAATATTTATAATAAGGTTAATTAAATAATTATTTTATCTTATCGATTCGATTCTTACTATTTAGTATAATAATTAGCAAACGATTTGCCTCGTTACTACTGAAAATAGTAAGTTAAATACTAAGCTCCGTTATATTAATATTTATTATTATTAATTACAATAGGAAATATAGGAAGGATATATTAAAGTTGAATACTGTAAAACAATAAAGATTCTAATAAACGGACTGACTAAAGTAGTAACTATTAATAAATATAAGGATTTTTAGAAAATTGCTATGTATGGAGTCTATTAGAGATATTAACGTAGATAAAAAAGAAAGGAAATACGTAGATTTGGATGTAGTTAAGGATTAAACTAGGAATAGCTTTATATAATTAGTAGTCTTGTTTAGCTTTGCCTTAATACCTTCAATTGAGGGGGTGTATTAGATTATTAGGGTATATATAGATGGCCAAACTTCTGGTCCAGTATGTGCCTCCTTCTTTATATAACCTTATATATTATATATATAGTATAGGAATCCCCTTATAACTATAGCTCGATAATTGGGCTATCTGACGATATTATTATATGAGGACTAGCCTCCTAGAATCCCTAGTTCTTGTACTTAAACCCCAGAACCCTCGAAAAGGACTGGGACGAGGATTACGAGAATCAATCACTTCTTAATGCATATCTCTTTGACCCACTTTACGTGCTTTCTGACACGTTCCCTCGTTCGGGGCATGCGCATGCCTGCATCACGATGCGGGCATGCGGCGTATGCGGGCGTATGTAAGACGGACAAGTCGGGACTGAACGTCATTCGCCCTTCGGTAAACGGGTGGCGCGGGTAGTCCCACCGTGTGCCCTTCCTTTTACGCCAAGAGATTTGGGGCTAGGTTCTTGGCAAAACAGAACATCGAAAGCCTCAAGTCCCTGAAATATCACTTTCCAGGGGGGCGTACAGTAGCGTGGAGCAGAATCTAGCGTCCTCCTCGGAAGTATCTCTTGCATGACAATGTTCCGCGCAAAATTGCCCAATGTGGAGCCCACAAGAACTACTTCCCACTTCCACAACTGCACAAGACTCCGGGGCCTGGCTCTCATGGATCCTGTACCCAAGTCCGAAGGGCGCTCAGTGATGACTGGTTACATACAGTGGTGGTTCCTCCTTATTTGAAGGGCTTCCTTGATTGTTGCCTTCAGTTCTTCAAGAAGTGCTGGAATTGCAAGGAAGTCATGACCGACTTGCCTGTCGCTGTCAAACTTTGAGTGTCTGTGGGGCATCGAAGTGCAAAGTGGGAAGAGGAAGGAGCCACTCAACGATATTGACTCCTGGTGAAAGCTGGAAAGGGCTGTTTGGCCAATGTCCCTTCCCTTTGTTGCCTGCCTACCGGCCGAAGGTGCAGGCAAGTCCGCTTTGTCCAAGTTCCCTCCGTCCCTTTGCCTGAAATCGATTTCTTCCGTTGGTTGTCAACGCGTAGGTTCCAACCAAACATCCTCCAATTTATGCCCACTCACTTCTGCCTTTCTTTCCAGCGCGCTACAAGCGCTTGCAACCATCTCTCACCGAACCACTTTCTATCGCCATAATAAATCGCGAGAACACGGTTATCACTGCACGCGACGTCACGACCCATCCGCACATTGTCTTCGATCATCGATTGTACTCAATCAATACCTCTATTATCCATCAGCTAGTAGCGATACGTTGGCACAATGGCAAACCCACACGACAACACGGAGAATCGGTTCACGGATGCCCCTGGACAGGAAGCCGGCCAAGAAGAACCTTAGTTGCAGTCTTCTTCTTCTGGATCCCTTGCGCAACCAGATCCTCACCACGGTCTCTCCGAACAGGGCTCCTCGGAGGGCACCATTTCTGACAGCGAAATTTCCCAGTTGCGAGACTTATCTGCAGGACAGATATCACCATCAGACCAGTACATGTGGGATGTGTTAATAAAACAGGGTTTTCGCCCAACCTCTCCAACATCCTCCCCAGGTCCAGCGGCGCAAACCTTTTCGCATGGTGATTCTCCTGACCAGTTCATCTCCGGGTCGACAGCCCCACACTACCAAACTGTGCTGGAAGTGCGTCAGTTAGAACGTCCCGGTGCAAGCCAAGTTTTAGTGGAGCATATCCTCTTGGGTGACTATCCATCGAACACCGTCACCTCAGAGTTGCCAGGTACTCTCGATGAGCATGTGGTAGAAGAGCTTCGTGGTACTTCTCAATATCCATCGGCGCCATCATGGGATAATCCAGCCTCAGCCCTTTCAAACGGCAACCCGACGACAGCCATCTTCCCACCCGCACAACCAGAAGGTGTAGAGGACCCTGCAACAAAATCAAGGACAAAGGAAACGCCCTCAGTCACCGTTGTTCATATATCGCCACCTAAGCTCAGTCAATCAGAGGCGCCGATATCGTCCAGCAAGCCGCTGCAACTCGACGCTCGAGAGTCTTCCGTCGTGGCTGAGAGAGAATGCCGCTATTGTCTCCGAAAAAACCGAGGAGGCACACTCTACAGCGAGGCTGCCTTGAGGTGAGTAGAAATTGCTCGGAAATGGGGCGTCAACACGATAACAGAGGGCGGCCAAGAAAAGAAACGAAAACAACTGGTCATTGAGACGTGTAACCAAGAGCTAATAACCGGCATGTTACAGGGATCACATAAGTATAAATCATCGCTTTTCTTGCCTTGAAGGCTGCGAAGACCTTGATTTTTCTTCAGCAGAACATCGCCGGCGACATCATAGGACCCACAATCACGATGAAGGGTCGACGTCGCGACTGTACAAGTGTGGTCGATGCGGCTATACTACGGACCGCCGCTCTCACCATCTAGACCACATCCGCAAAAAAATACCGTGCCCGGAAAAAAATCAGCCAACGATGTACGAGTGCAGATACCACGGCCCGACGAGTCTCGATAGAGAAGAACATCTCTCCCATATCGAGAACGATATAGCGTCAACGGGACTGTTCAAGTGTGGTCGATGCGGCCATGCTACGAACCACCGCGGTAACCACCTACAGCATCTCCGCAGCAAACACCCGTGCCCGGAAATAGAGGAGCCAACGATGTACGAGTGCAGATACCACGGCCGGACGAGTCTCGATAGGGAAGAACATCTCTCCCATCTCGAGAACGATATAGCGTCAACGGAACTGTTCAAGTGTGGTCGATGCGGCCATACTACTAACCACCGCGGTAACCACCTAGAGCATCTCCGCATCAAACGCCCGTGCCCGGAAATGGAGAAGCCAACGATGTACGAGTGCAAATACCACGGCCCGACGAGTCTTGATAGGGAAGAACATATTACCCATTTAAAGGACTCTTCTTCACACCGGCAGGTATATGATGATAAATAGAGTTGCGTTCGGGACTTGTGTACCCACGGTGGTGCTGTATCGTAGTTGCATAGAGTGAGGGTGAGGGCAAGGTTGTGGTAAAACACAACGGAGACGGGAGGATAGGCTGGTACAGTTGTGAGTTGAGCTGGTTTGTGTCCGGGTGCACCGGTAATCCGGTAGTCTCTACGTGTCCGGGCGAGTCCCGGGCCGAGAGCTTGGAACGGCCTGGAACTGGAGCCGATCGTGTGGGTCACGGCACGGCATGGCCCGGGCTCACTGTGGTTTTTCCCTCAGCTTTTGATGCCCAGTTGTTCTTTTGGATTTCTTCCCGCCCTCTTCTCAGCTGATATGGGACTTGGTTCCTCTGCACCTGGGTTCTGTTGGATTTTAGCGATCATTGTCACTTGTACTCCCTTGGAGAATATTCAGGGCTAGATAGACTGCCCTGGAAATAGCGTTGGTGTTTATTGTTTCAAGATATGCGTTATTCCCAAGACTTGGTCGTGTTTGGTCGCTTTGTTCTGGTCATGACTAGTGTACGTAGTAGATGAGGAACACAAGCAACAAGACTCAAGAGTACCCTTGTCGACTCCTTTCTTTAGGTCCAGGCCACACTCTTATTTTTTTCTTGAATATCTTCTGTCTTCATCGTAGTCATTTTCTATCCAAGAAAGGCGCCCTAGCTATCAAGCCTTCGCTCGCCTTCATCAGCCATGTTTGAGGTGGCTGTAACCATCACCACAGTCAGGTCGATCCAGGACCAGAGTGAGACACCCCATCGATAGCATGCCATGGCCCGTTGGTAAAAGACTCGGCCTCGAAGCGCTCCATTGGTGTCTTATTTTTTGATGTTGTGTTGCTGCTTCGGCTGTTCGTGGTCTGTCTGTCGACGGCGTGGTATGTTCTGCTGGTGTTTGTATCTGTGGAGTAGGTTTGCAGGTTAGTGAATGCCTTTATTGTAAGTGATAGCGTTGCTAACAGTTCAGCACTGTTGCGTTACCATTATAGGGCGTCATCTGTTAGTGGTATTAGTGGTGGAAGCGCAAGGGATCGGACGAACCTGGGCCTGTGGGTCTTGAAGTGGAGCCGTGACTGGCTGTGGTTGACGATGAGTCTTGGCGAACCTCGTTCAAGAGAGTGTCGAGATCGCGCTCCATGGTTGAAGTATCGTTGAAGTCGGTGGTTTAACAAGAGAGGCCGGGAACTTGAGGAAAGCGACGCTTTTGGGGTTTGGTGTTTTAACTTTGAAGAACCAACGGTGGGTTTTGGGCGACGATGAAGAAGAAGGTAATGATGAAGAAGGTAATGGTGAGGACGAGGAAGATGAACCGACTGACCTTGACCAACGCAGACGACATGGTTTTATAGACGAATTCCCCGACCACATCGCTCTCAAATTGAACGTTTGGAAGTCCAGGATAATCGCACTGATTTTGATATGAGTTGGTTGTGCTGTCGCGGGTGGTTAAAAACATCGTTTTGAGAGGGCAAGGAGCGGATGTACGCCGCGTACCTCTAGGTGGGCGTCGACCTCAAATTGATCTTGAGTTGAGTTGAATCACCCCTGGAAAGGGGAGCGAAGACAGCTGAGACGGCATTTTTGGCCTTTGGCTCACCGATAACTTCTTGAGAACGGCTTCGAACTCAGCGAAGAGGAGTTTGGATATGGAAAAGGAACATGGATTGCTGCTCTTTCCATGGCGATGTCGCTGGGTCAAGAAATCTAGCATAGAATAAGCGATGGTGGTGGTTTGTGGCGTTCGCTGTTCTTGTGGATGTAGGTCGCAAAGCACATCGCAGGCGAAAGGCGCCACCTGGCTCAACGACATCTATTTGAGGTCGGATTTTCAGCCGCAAAACCCGACCTATCAGACGACGAGCTTTAGGTATCTCTAGGGAACGGCGCATCTCTGCTGACAGGTAATCCAGCTCAACAAACTTTCGATGAAGATACTGAATGATAAATTACCCCTGAGTTACTGAACCTCGGGGACGGGAGGCTCAGGCGCCGTTACTTTGTCAGGTCAGTGAAGGGTCGCCGACCCCCTCACCAATAGCCGGCGGGTGTAAGCATCGGAATATCTCCCTAGTATTCCAATTTCCGCGTAGCGAGGGATAGTGTCGTAAGGCAACCAGACTGGGGTCCCTCCGTCCTGTATCGTACTGGATGAAAAGCGGGATATGTAACTTACAACTGCCCTAGATATGTAGTGGGAGGTTATGTGACGACTTGGTGTTTCTGCAGGTTATGTGACGACTTGGTGTTTCTGCAGCTTTGGCGTGGGTACCGGGGAGATACCCAGCGGCCACAATAAGCTTCAACAGGTCCGCACTGTAGAGGTACAGAGAATGGAGGCGGCTCTGTCGAGGGCACCCAACCACGCTCTTCGTTTTCCAGACACGGTAGGAGGCTTGGGGGAGCGAAGCCAGGTACGTGATGGTAGGGTTGGAAATCATGCTGCTTCAGTATTTCTTGGCTGCATGGCCTCGCTTGTACCCACATCGGGTTTAGCACCGGACGGGAGTGGGGCCAGACAAGATAGCTTTGAGGATTCAATTGGACGATGGGACTTGGGCCAGAAACTGGCCTTCAGTCCTCTCAGCAGCAACTTCCGTCTTGGTGGTTGGGTACTTTGGATGTGTACTCCGTGTCAATATGAAAACGGTTGACAGGGCGTGTGTGAGCCTCCGTTTTTCCGCGCGGAGTATTGGCAAAAGACGCGAAGCACCGTTCCTTCAAGGATCCGTGCTCACTTTCCATGCACCGTGTAGGAGACGTATCCTTTTTGCAAGTTCTCGAGTCTGTTGGCCGACCCTGTATTGGACTGTAGTTTCGACCTGCGGCGGTTGGTGCACTGCACTTCTCTTATACTATATAGCATCCGAGCTGCTGGCCATAATCCCAAGCATCAAGTTTAACGGCTGGTCTCTTGCACTCGAATCTGAATCAACACGCAACAAAGAATTGATCGGGCTTGAAAGTGTTTCGCATTTTCGCCAGTACCAAATTCATCGAAAACCCCTTCCATGAGCGGAGATACAATCTTGGTTGGTACGTGAACGCGACCGACAGGAGCACAACCCTAACCCTCGCTTCACAGTGTCCCGTACTGCCCGAAATGGAGATGTCCGTAACCAATCCTCATGGCCACCCCGAAGTATCTTCTACGACGTTATCGCCAGACTTTAATCTGGACTTTCTGGGCGATGACTTCGGGACGGATTGGTCACAAGAACACGATGCCAGACCCGAATTACCGCCGCAGCCTACTCCTTTTGGCCTGAGCAATGAAAACCAGCCAGGCCCCGCTACCGAGGTCGCCGCCGCTTTGCCATGCAGCATTAGTGACCCGACGTCGTCAACTTCAGACAATCTGTATTTGCAGGCTGCAAATCAGGATATTACCCAATCTCCGCCGCTATCTCCAATTACCACTGAAACTGGGACGTCTCGGTGCACTTTCTGTCGTCCACAGAAGAACCGTCGGATCGAATTTTCCAGCGAAGCGGCGTTAAAGTGAGTCTCCGACAACCCCCAAAAACAGACCATCTTGCAATAAAAACCTCGTGCATTCGACATCCGCATTTCCCAAACCGTCAAATCATATCAAACACACACTAACGACATCGCCTTTGCATCACAGACTGCACATCGAAACCGACCACCAGTTCCAATGCCACAGCTGCCCCAACGTCGGATTTAAACACCGATACAGGCTCGCCAATCACTACAAAACTCAGAAACACCGGCCCAAGACCCCTGGTCGTCCGTCTGATCCATGCTACAGGTGTGGCAGATGCGGCCAATTCTGCTCACATCGGGGAAACCATATCCGCCACATACAGACCTGCAAAGGGGGGAAATTGGATCAACCAATGAGTTATGAGTGCGATGATCACGGTGCGACCAGCGTTGATAGGAACGATCATGTCGCTCATTTGAATCGTTGCAAAAAGAAGGGACAGAAGAACAGTCACGCCGGGCGAGAAACCGGCAGCAGTTCTGGGAGCGGGTCCCCTTCCAGCACCGGGTCGTAGGTGCACCGGTGCACTACAGCAATACCGCACCTCGGCACTCATCAGACTGGTCGGCGGTCCCAAGGTCCACAGGGACGGCAGCGGGCCGGGGCGAGTGGGGTCCACCCGACCCGACCGGTCCGTAAAGCGGGGCTCCGGGCTCGGGAGGGATGCCGCCATTACGTCTGCCCCAGTCACAACCACCACATCCACGCCGTCCAGTCACCACAAATGGCCCAAACGCTCCTATGCTACAAAGCATTTGGAATTCTGCACACTGCCCGTCTTCACTGATCAGCTTTGTGCAGTCGCCGTCGAGTTTTCATATGACAGCAGCCAGAGTGTCTGCTTGCAGCAGGCGCAAATATCATCAGGCGAACAACACCTTCTTGTCTCCATTTCCTTCTTTTTGTTTTCATTTGAAGATGGAGTGGAAATTTTTTCTGTATTTTATATCTTTCAGCGGGGATTGGCATTCATATTGCTGCGCTATGGTATCACTTGGCTCACATACTTCCCTATTTTCTGCGTTTTTGTTGCTCGGGTTTCTTTCCGGAAGGTGGATTATGCCATGAGCTTCTGTTGCCCTTGTCGTCTGTTCCTTTTTGGGTATGTTATCGAAGCTATTCTCACCTCTTGGCATTCCTTGGCGACCTCTCACAGGAGTTGTCCGCCAAAAGCAGACATCGGGTAGATCTCTTTTTCTTTTCTTCCTTTTTTTCTCTTTCTTCAAACCTCATCGTGAAATGTACGGGTAGACAAATGGGGTTTATTTGGGGTCTCGATATTACATTTCCTTCTTCATAAAGCGCTTCAATCCATTTCCAACGCGTGTATGGTCGTTAAACTCGACAATCACAACTCAACCAAAGCAATTTCGACCTGCGCTTTACATCTGTTACATGGACTGTTTGTCTACGGCATATGAGTTGCTACCGGAACCTTTGCCGTCGACTTGCAAAACCCTCTCAGGCTCCCACATCATTGCGACCACGAAGTCAGCATCAACCCCATAAACCAACATTTCTTTCTTCTTGCCATACCGCCTAGTGACATCACACAACCAAGACAGAAAGCTTGTCGAATCAATACCTACCCATCAGTTACACAGCAGAACAATCTATGAGGGAAACATGTGAAACGGTAGCCGGCAGGGAACGCCAAGCTTGAACTTTGTACCTCCCCAGCGCTCCTTCCTATTCGGTCTGAGCGCACCAGTCAAAGAGGTTCTCAACTTTTTCCGTTTTCGTCGACTCCCCGCTTTTTTCATTTCGTCTTCATTCAGCTTCGACCTCAACTCTTGTCCTCTCCACTTCTTCGTTTTCTCCTCCAAAGTTCTACCACCTACCGACGAAGCGCATCCCTTCCTCGATCAACGGGATGGCCCCAGAGGACTTAGTTTATCATTGTATGCTGTAGCATTCCTCACCATTCTCATATCTTGGATATTTCTTCTGTTCACCCTACGGCACGGTCCCCTCTTCGCAAATTGCCCCACGATGGCGACCTCTCCAATACCTGAGAAGGTCAAATTAAACGGCCACGAACGACAGAAGACCAATACTAGCACCATAGACCTCCAAGCCGTCAACCGCACCGCTACTCATGATGGCGAAGAGATTTTGGGCCTACAAGATCTCGATCCAGCTCTCAATAGGAAGATACACTTGGTCAATAATGTGAGAACTGCATACTTCGTGTGCATCCTCTACGCCCTTGTGCTAACAAGCTCGACTCTCTGCAGGCCATCGACGAGATAGGTTGGACGCCCTACCACACCAAGCTCTTCTTCCTCAACGGTTTTGGGTGCGTGTACTACCTCCATCCCCGTAACCCATGAACTCACCATCGTGACCAGATACGCCGTCGACTCCCTCGTCCTCCTCCTCCAAGGCGTCATCGCAGGTCCAGCTTTCCGCGAGTTCGGAGAGAAGGGATATGACAACGCCATGACCATTGCTGGCTATGTCGGCATGCTTATCGAAGCATTGTTCTGGGGCTTGGGTGCTGACATCATTGGCCGCCGGTTCGCCTTCAACGTCTCCCTCCTGCTGTGCTCCATCTCCGTCATCATCGCTGGGGCCATGCCGAACTGGCCATCTCTGGGCTTGTGGATCGCGCTTATTGGGTTTGGTGCTGGAGGAAACCTCGTCTTGGATACGACTGTCTTTTTAGAATATCTGCCCGGGAGCAAGCAATGGGTGCTCACTCTGATGGCTGGGTGGTGGGGATTGGGTCAGGATGTGACTGGGTTTGTCGCATGGGGCTTTCTTGGTGAGCAATCCTTTAATATCGGCATTCTGATGGGAGAAAATGACTAACATTGATGTGTTAGTACCCGAGAAATGGAACTGTCCATCGGTCGATGTCTGCACAAAGCAAAACAACATGGGGTGGAGATACGTCATGTTCACCAGCGGCGCCCTTGTCTTCATTATGTCCATCCTTCGAGTCACCGTCATTCGACTGAGAGAGACGCCCAAATACCTTCTTGCTTTGGGTGAAGATACACAGGTTGTCAATACCTTCCAGTTTCTGGCATCAAAGTACAACCGACACTGCTCTCTGACTGTCGAGAAGCTCGAGGCATGTGGTGTAGTGATGGGCACCCACAGCAAGAACCGTTATTCCTTCGCAGAGACTGTTGTACATCTTCGGGGACTGTTCTCAACCCCCAAGATATCCCTTTCAACTGCACTGATATGGGTGTCATGGGCCATGATGGGCTTAGCTTACCCTCTGTTCTACGTCTTCCTCCCAAGTTATCTCGCCTCCCGCGGAGCAAACCTGGACGTCTCAACCTTCGAAACCTGGCGCAACTACACTCTCACCAACATCAGTTCAATCTGCGGACCATTGCTCGCTGGTTGGATGTGCAACATACCTCTTCTTGGACGTCGATACACGATGCTCATCGGGGCGCTGATGACAGCTGCCTTCTTCTTCGCTTACACATCTGTCCGCACCGGTGCCCAAGACGTCGGGTTCTCGTGCTCCATTGCCTTCTGCCTGAACATCTACTATGGCACCCTGTATGCCTACACGCCAGAGGTTCTCCCCAGTGCCCATCGAGCGACAGGAAACGGAGTCGCAGTGGCTTGCAACCGTGTGATGGGAATTCTCTCGGCTGTTATTGCTACTGTGGCGAACACTTCGACTAGTGCGCCCATCTACATCTGCGGAGCTTTACTTGTGGCGATGGGGGTTCTGAGTGCTTTCTTTCCGTTTGAGCCGTATGGTCGCAGGAGTTCCTGAAGTCGGGGGGGCTTGTGGCACTTGCCTCTACAGTCTACAAAAGATCAATCACGGGAATATGCAGGAGAATGTCTGGAACCGACGGATGATTGTATTCCAATGTTCGCTGTCGCTGTGTTTACCCTCCTATCCCAAACCAATGCACCGTCACATACAGACGGTAGGACCAAGTTTGAAGTTCCATAAACAGAGTAACAAGTCCGCTAACTTCTTGACTCAGCCTATTCTAGTCCCTCTCCCGCGCACTCAATACCTTAATCCACAGCATTCTCTGAATGCCCCGTCCGATCATCCCGTTCGTGTACAAAACCCCTGAGTAACGATGGAAAGAACAGTCGGGTACGTGTACTCAAAGACCGTGGTGCGGGAACTGCTGCACCCCAAACACGCCCAAACCCTTACTGTAAAGGACCAAACAAAGAACAACCCCACCCATGATGAGGAAGTAAAACCAAAAGTACCATTTCCTCAACAGCCTCGGCCGACCCCTCGATTTCTCACGCCTCCGGTCCCCGTCTCGTTGCGGGGCGGGTTTCCCCGCTCGAGATCGATCATCTGGTCTACAGTGTCGTAACTTCTGGCCCTCTCTGCAGGTCTGGTATTGCGATTGTTGCTGGTTGTTGTATCGTCGCGGAGGTCGATGAGCTCGATCATTAGGTCTACAGTGTCGATGCTTCTGATGCTGGGGCTTCTCGTGCCTCTGGTATTGCGGTTGTTCCTGGTTGTTGTTGTTGTATCGCCGAGGAGGGCAATGGGAGGCCGAGCCACACCATGGACCGGGCACGGGGGATGTGGTGTGGTTCCCGTATTGCGGTTGCGGCTGGTTGTCCATGTCGTATCGCCGAGGAGGCGGATGGGAGAAGCCACACCATAGGCTGGGGGCGGGGGATGTGGTGAGGTGTGATCAAAGGTCGCAGCCAAGTCTGTCTCCAGAAATCGGTCACGCAGGTGGAAGTTGTACGGCGGCGGGCTCACGACGGCGGGGACGACGGCTGGTGCTGGTTCATCGATGTCGGTGTTGGCGGCGTTGTGGATGTTGTTGTGGACGCTGTCCAGGCCGTAACCGCGGGGTCTGATGCCCGTTACGGCTGTTCCTCCGCCCAAGGGGGAAGTGGTGTTCGGCAGTGCCGAGTTGGCGCCGGTGTAGCCGAGGCGGGAGCGGGCACGAGCCTGGGCGGTGGGAGGGGGTGTGTAGGCTGGTGCCGGGCGAGATGGTTTTTGCAGAGGAGCCGCCTCTGGTCGTGCAAGCTCGGTTCCATGTCGGTGCGTTATTTTGTTTTCGTTGCTGCTGGAGGAACTGCTGTCATGGACGCGTGTGGTCCATGGGCTGATATGACGTCCTATCATGTTGATTTCTGTTGGACGTGGGCGAGCAGCCCTAGCAGCTTTGGGGATTTTGGGCTAAGGAGTGCGTTTAGCCGGTCAGGATCGATGGAAGGGGTCATTTTTGCAGAGAGATGACTGGGATTGGCGAACTTACCTGGCTTCTCAGGAGGAGATTGACGAAACGGTCAACTTTTGTTGACTTCACCTTCTTTGAGAAGGGAAGTCGTTGTACTGGTCTTTTTGGACGATGATGGTTTTTGTCGGGATGAAGCTTCCGAAGGACGGTTCACGATGAACGCTGAGAGTATGACAGATGACGGGTTTTTGGATTGATGGTTCTTGGACGAGGATCGCTCGCGTGGGAATGAGGCTTCTGGAGGACAGTTCAGAATGATTGATGAAAACAAGACAGATGACGGGAGTTGTCGGATTGAGAATTCTGTCTGGCAAGATGGAACTGTTATTGAGTTGATAATGGTTCGAAATCTTTCGATGGAGGGTTGGATCGCCTCGATGGTCTTGGTGGATGCTTTCGTTGAAGGTTGAGAAGAAGAGAAGGAAAAGAAGGGAATATGCTCTATGAAAGCGATTTTGTACTTTTCCACAGGGCAAACCTGTCTTCTTCCTGCGCTGTGCTTTTGTTGCAGCATCTTTTTCAGTTCCGAAGCATTCGTCGGCGTTGCTTTGGCCATTCCGCATGTGGTTCGGTAAGGATGCCTTTTTTCTCACCAGCTGCGAGACGCATCATCCGGACTTGAAGCAACGGAGCTCCGGCCCTGGCTAACATCGCCACCTGAAGAAACAAATGCCGACGTCGCTTTTCAGCATCACAATCGCCTATTTCACTATCATAAAACATCATGTCTGGAAGATCCATCGCATCAGCTCATTCGACGATTTTTCTTGGGTTTCTTTTCCAAGTGTCAGTGCAAGCATTGTTGTGGGAAGTCGGAGTTTGGACTCGGCTTGATAGCATGAAGTGTCGGACTCAAGCACATCGGACGTTCAACGTTGGCAGAATGCGTTAACGCCGTGCAGCGACTTGAATCAACTGGCCGAGGAGGGGCTTTTTCTATCAGCTCTTCAAGTGTCGTCCATGTCATAAATGCATGGTTTCGAGGACGCATGAACGGCTCGACAAGATAAGGCGCCCGGACAGTGCTGGACGTCCGAATGGTGCTGGCCTGCTGGCCTGCTGGGCGTCAACAGTCAAATGGAAGGAAAAATAAAAACGACAGTCTCGAAAGTGTGGGAAATGCGAGGGAGGGGATTCCGAACTGGGCATCTTACGCCATCTTTCCCCAACCAACCGCCGTCCAGAGAAACCGATGACCGTATCAAGGACAAATGGTGCACCATCCCAAAATCCCAAATATGCAAAATAAAAGCCAATAAAATCCGGGCATGATGCAAGGCCACTTCAGAGTCGTCGGCCACTCACTGTGACGAATCTCGATTTACGACTTACACCCGAAACCGGGCGCAGTACCCGAACGCCGACATGCGGCCGTTGGACGCCCAGCCGGGACCAACCGAGCTTGGACCCACAGGGCTTTTCTCCTTTCAGCTGTCGAGGTTTCTTTGTCGGCGCCGGCATTCTGGGCAGCTGGTCGGCTGGACGCCGATTGGGAGCCGACTGGATGGGACGGTTCGGAGAAGCTAGCAGACCAAGCCTGTTACGGGTGTAAGTGGTCAGTTACCATTTTGGCGATGGCTTCTCCCTTGACCTTCCGGTCCAGGACCCAGCCAGTGCTGTGCTGGAGTGCCTAGGTAGGTACTACAGTCGGCTTCCTCGAACATTGTGTCGTTTTTGTGTTGTCTCGGTTGTTCATACATAGTAGCTGCTGGCACCCGACAGCCGTTCCATTTTCTGGGAGTCCCCCATTCGCAGCACTGTGCCTCCTACCCGGAGAGGACATCGAAATAAGCAGGCTTGACTCGCACGGTCACTCTTCGCGGAAACTTAACGCGACGCCAAGATTTCTGCTTAGTCCACGGTGGTTATTCACGATGTTGAGTCCTTCTTCACTTTGCCTTTTTTTTTTTTCTTAAAAGCAAGCCTAGGATTCCAGCTTCTCTTCGATTTCCATCCTTCATCCCGAAATGGACGCTCAGCACACCGCGTTGATTGATTGATAAGGTACTGCAGTTTTCCGTTGCCTACTTTTGTCCTCGACGATTTCAGAAACAGGTCCTCTTGACGTAAATTTCCGTCATTAATTGTTCAGGCCTCTCGTCAACGGTACTGAGTGTTTTATTCTGCGCATGGTCAGGAATTCTCTTGTTTTCGATCCCGAAGCTCTCGATGGTTTTCCCGAAACTCTCCCAAGGCCTGCATGAGCCGTGAGCGATTGTCTAGGAACACCATCACAGGACGTTACAATTCTTGATAATGTCGATGGCTGCGAGGTTGGAATTCATTTCACTGCGATAGTCATCACGTCTCAAGTGGTCAGCCGGAGCATTCGTGCGCTCGCCAGGATTGCTCCCAGCAGCAGTTACCAAATCATCAAAAGCATCATTATTCACACCTCAGCCAGCAGATTGTATGAATGCATGTATGTATGTGTATAGGTATATATACAAACGACGTCCACACAAACGCCCTTGATTTACGAGACCATAGAGAGACAAAGCCAATCCTAGCCCCCCGTCCAATCCCATATACAAAACAAGTATGACAATAAAAAAGAAGCGACCTATCGCTCAACGTAGGTCAGGTATCCTCATCCTCATCTCTTTCATCCCTCTCTCCTCCCAACCAATAAAGATATATACGTGAACCGGAAAAAATGAACACCTAACCAATGCATTTTCCCCAACCACGTTTGTTTGTTTAGCCAATTGTCTTTTTTATTCAAAGATCAACTGTTGTTCCTCTCTTCTCTCATCTTCCTCTTCGAATATCCACTCTCTGACTTTAGCCAAGCATTTAGAACTTGACCTTGGCCATGGAGCCCTCCTCAATAAGAGCCTTGTGCATATCGAAAGAGTTGAAGAGAAGGTGGGGCTCGTGGCCCATACCCTTGCGGAGGCACTCGAACTCGGCCTTCTCGAAGTAGGCCTTGAGGATGGGCTTGTAGACGTCGTGGGCGCACTTGTCAATGATGACGCGGGCGCGCTCGCGGGGGCTGAGGCCACGGACATCGGCGAGACCGTTCTCGGTGACGATGACGTCGAGATCGTGCTCGGTCTGGTCGACGTGGGTGCACATGGGGACGATGCAAGAAACACCGTGGGGGTCGGTCTTGGAGGGACGGGTGGAGGGGGTGTGCATGATGGAGTACTTGGAGTTGCGGAGGAAATCAGCGGAACCACCGAGACCGTTGAGCATGCGGGAGCCCATGACGTTGGTGGAGTTGGCGTGGGCGTAGATGTCGACCTCGACGGGGGTGTTCATGCCGATAACACCGAGACGGCGGATGATCTCGGGAGCGTTGGAGACGGACTGAGAGCGGAGGAGGAGCTTGTCATAGTAGTTGTCCCAGTTCTTGTAGAAGCGCTCGAAGCCGGTGGGCGAGAAGCGGATCGAGGTGGCGGTAGCGAAGTCAAGCTTGCCGGAGTCGAAGAGGTCGAGGAAGGTATCCTGGATAACCTCAGTCCAGACGTTGAGGTTCTTGAAGTTGGAGTTCTCGAGACCACCGATGACAGCGTTGGCGATGTTGCCGATACCGGACTGCAGGGGGAGAAGGTTCTTGGGCAGGCGGCCGTGGGCGACCTCGTGCTCGAAGAACTCGATCAGGTGGTCGGCAATGGCCGTGGCCGTGTCGTCGGCGGGGCTGTTGGGGAGGGTCTGATCGGGGGTGGTGCACTCAATGATACCGACAACCTTCTCGGGGTCGATGGGGATCGAAGTGGTACCGATACGGTCCCTGCACTGAGTGACGAGGAGGGGCTTGCGGTTGGGAGGAAGGTCGGAGAAGGTGATATCGTGGAGACCGTCGAAGCTGGGGATGGCGGTGTTGACCTCGATGATGATCTTGTCGGCCATCTGGAGAAGCTCGGGGGTGGCACCGACGGAGGCACCGGGGACGATGGAACCGTCCTCCTTGATCTCGGTAGCCTCAACGCAGACGACATCGAGATTCTTGTTCTCGCGGTCCTTGGTGTAGTAGCCCTGTGCGCGACGGGGTTAGCAAACTGTTTTGCGATGCGCCGAGATTCGCGGCCTCTTACGTAGACAAGGTCAACGGGGAACATGGACAAGTGCTTGTCGAAGAAGTTGATGCGGCCCTCGTTGATACCCTTGGCAATGTTCTTGCCGACCTGGTGAGGAGAGCGACGGGCGATCATGTCGAGACCAGCCCAGCGGTTCTCGGTCTCGGCGCCAGCGGAAGCACCGACGAAAAGGCTGTACTTGAGCTGGCCCTGGAGGCCGTTCTTCTCGACGTGGTCAGCGAGCATAGTAGGGACCTTCCTGTAGCGCGGGAGACATGGTTAGAGGACCTCGTCAGGATGCGGTATTTCCAGATGGCAACTTACTTGGGGTAGCCGACACCGGTGAAACCGGACCAGCCGATGTAGGCGCCATTGGGGAAGTGCTGGAGCATGTCCTCAGGGTTGCAGAGCTTCTTGAGCATAGAAGGGCGCTTGACGCGGGCCTTGAGGGCCGCGGAGGCAATGGGCGACGCCATGGTGATGTGGATGTGGTGTGATTAGAGAGAGGTAGAGCGGAGAGAGGAAGAAGGGGGATGAGGATTCCTTGACGACACAGAAAAGGATCGCGAAGGAGGTCAAGGAGGAGGAGGGAGGAGGAGTAGGAGAGAAAAGACAGAAGAAGTGGAAAAAGATGGAGAAGTCCAAAAGGGACGGAAGCGGAACAACAACAACACACAGGCCACCAGTCACAACGCGGGAATGATGACGGTAATTTGCGACTCCATCAACACGTCCGGGATGGGCCTTTTCCAGATTGCGGAGAGGGAGGTGAAGAAAGGATAATACATCATCGCCAATCCATCTCCTGACCGCCCGGGATTGGCGGCTTGTAATTTGATGCTGAGCTGGATTTGGCGGGGTAG